CCACCCACTGGTCCACAGTGTTGTCAAACACTAGGTCAAACTCTGGGGAGTCCTTCAAGAGCGGAGCAGAGGAGAACAAAGTTACAAACTGTTACATTTGCTTAGCTGTCGCTTTTATCCAAAGCGACTTACAATAACTACATTCAACAATGTGGTGACAACCCAAAGAATGCAAGAATCATCAACTACTTCAGATAAAATGGACTGTTTCAAGTGCTACATTTAAAAACAATAAAGAAGGGCCCAGAAAACTTTTGACTGAAAACTGCAGTCTGTGATAGATGTGCAGAGTTTCTGCAGTCCAGATGTCAAAGGGGAGGTCGTTCTACCATTGTGGAGCCATGACAGCAAATAGTCACCCTGTATATGACTTATTATTATCATAGAGCTGCTGATAGACCACTATGGGTAAAAAAAGAACATCAGAATTTTGCTGACCTTGTTTGGGTTGATACCATTGACCTGTCTGAGCTGCTCCACCGTCCACTGGGACCTCCTGGTGAAGGAGGAGGAGCCACCGAACCGCTTCACCTTTGTAATGAGGAGCTGATGGGGCCTTGTGTTGGTTACTAGGTAAACAAATCATTCATAAAAAATTACTATAGCAAACTAACAAAGCATTTATATTTGCACTCGGGAAACCCTGAGATGTATTGTGATGAATTTCCTTTATGGTAACAATCGTGAATATCCTCACATGCTCATCTTTGACATCTTTCCAGTCATTCCAAAATCCTAAGCCTGTCATGGCTGAAGGCTGTTGTATCCCCCCCCAAAAAAGTTAAACCAGATGAGTGGAAATAGTAGATTTCAAAAGGAAAGTTGATTATATCACATATAGCAATTATGTGAGATAATTGTGACATCAGATTTTCATATTGTCCCATGCCTAATTTCCACTATATTTTATAACACTCATATTATACATATCAGTGAACCTCCAGCCACCTAAGCCCTTTCTTACCAGATGAAAGTGGCCAATTAGAGCTTCAATCACTGATCTGAGGGTTGGACCTCCTCCTCTGTAAATGACAGGATGGGAGTGCTTCACCAAATAAAGAAAGCCAGATTTAACCTGAAACACAGATGAATGTGGCGTAGTCTGCTTTGGCTCCAGTAGGCAGGAAAGACATCCTCTTCCTCTTCCTCCTCCGTACCTCCACTGCCACCAGCATCCGCTCATTACGAGGGATGAAGACCTCTTTGTTGATGGCAGACTGAATGTTCATTGTAATCCTGAGACCTACAGGTGATAGATGGATGGAACTGTGCTTGGTACAAGTCCTGTGCAAACACTGGGCTAGGCTGTGTAGACGAACAAAGAGACTGAAAGAGCTGCAAGCTCAAAAGTCTGTGTGATTAAAACAACTGTAGGAGAAACCAAAGCTGACTCTGGATCAGAGCCCTCACAATATAGAAAAAGTCAATGAATTATCCTGTAAGGGTCACAGTATGCATGAGCTGACAATGATTTATCATACTGTACTTCATATGTTTGTTTTTCACATATAGTGACTTAATTTGTAAAAAAAACATTTTTCTGTTAGTATTTTCATGTGTGATAAGAAATATTAGTCAGTAACAACACATGACTTCCTTCTAGTATAAAATCTAGTGCTGAAATAATTTGTCGATTGATTGATTTGTCAACAAACGTTCATTCATTTTGGGAATAATAATTTAACAAAAATATGTTACAAGATTAGTAATGCTGTTCAGCCACGAGTGAAATTTAGTCATCCTAGGATGTTGGCTTTAGAGCATGATTTTTTCCAGGCAACAATTATGTTTTTCCGAAATGATATACAGATTTGTAGGCATTATATTATCTCACCTGTCTCAAAAAATGGTGCATATAACAAAAAAAAGCAGTGGTTTGGGTTAAGCACTGAATGTTTACAACATCTGGCTCCGCCCGTCTCACTCACTACCTAACCATCGCATTCTAGCTCCTAACTAATCATGGATGTATGTGCACACTACGTGCACAAACGTGACCAAGTAACAGGATGATATTGAAACTAAAAAACTTAGGGAACGCATACGTTTTTTAAAATCAGTTTTCAGTGATCTTCAAGTTAACACTTTTAAACAGTATTATGTTTTTAAATAAATGTATTTAATCTCTTAAAAATATTTCAGATTTCTCATCATACCACTGGTTTAAGTCACTTGTCAAGAACGAACAGCAATCTTTTCGAGCTGCAGCTTCTCCTTTTCTCTGTTTATATCTCAGTAAACATAATGTCTTTGCGCTTTGTTCTGTTGGTCAGAGGAAATAAAACGTGAGGATGCCATCTTGGGCTCAGAATGGCATCCTTTTGATTACTTTTCAGCATTAATCAAATATATATGATGAATTACAAAACTGGCCATAAAATCCCTAAAATGTAAATCTTTCTCCTCAGTAGAAGTAGCAACACCAGCATCTACAAATCTCCATGAAAAGTCCTGTGCTTAAAACATTTTCTACTAAAAATGTTGTCTCTGATTAATTTATTTTTTACTTTTTGTAGAGGGTATATTCCAGAAGTTGCTGCTAGGCAGAGCCAAGTGATAGGCTAAAACACACATTTCAGTACTTAAAGAGGCTAAAAAGAAGCTAATGATGTATTAATCTAGTAAATTAATGATTACAATAACAATTATAATGATAAGGATAGTGATCTACCTGTTTTTGTCCTCTTCTCCTCCCAAAAGCTTGACTCTTGTAGCACACTCTAGTTAGGTTGCAGAGACTGTATTGTTAGTTTAAAACTTGAATTAGTAGGCTGTTAAATTTATGAAATATTTCCCAGAATCCCGTCATGGATTTATACCCCCGCACACCAAACGGCGTGCCTTGCTGTGAAGGCGCAAGTAAACCACAGTCCATCCCATTTCAAAAGGCTTACATGCACGTGGTTACAGTCAGAGAACAGTCAGCAGCTGTCTCACAGGCAGAGCAGTGGCAGGGGCAGACCCAGAGGGTTGGCATGGGGTGGCACCTGCCACCCTAAAAAATGCCTGGCCACATTTAAGACTGAGTGATAGGCTTAAGTTCAATGAAAAAAGACATCTATTTGAAAAAATGTCTGAAGATTTGGAAATAAAAGATGTCTTAGAAATATACAGTATGCATCTCAGCATTTAGAAACTGCATATGTTGGACAATTAGCATAATTATCATTATTAATCATAATCACCTATGAACAATATTTCAGCAACTGCTTGGTTGATTTGGAAAGTGGTTTTGAGGGTTATTGAGGATGCTGTATCAGTTTCTGACATTTTCAAAGTATAAAATGGAAGTATCCATATGTTTAAAAATATATGCTTATTACACTGGACCTGTATTTTAGAATGAAGAGGGCTCATTTATTTCTGATATTTATTTATATTCCGCTCACGTGTTCTTGCTGCACAACATTGAGTCCGCTAGTTACTGCTACGGGAAGAATAGCGGCTACATGGAAAGACAGAGGAAACACAGCTCCTTACATACAGTTTACTGTCTCAGTGCAAGTGAGTTGATAAAAAAATAAAGTAAATTAAGTAAAATACAAAGCAAAACCTAATCCACATTAATTAATAAATCAACAATTAGTTTAACTACCAAGAGTTAGAAAATATGGTGAAATTTTAAATATCTTTTGATAGGTTACGTAAAAAGAAACCTGTTAACAACAAACAACAAAAATGCCATGGTGAATCAGCAGCTCATACTGGATTTGCTTATTAAGGGTTATATCCAGGGGAATTTAGAGCTTCTTTTGGTGAGATACAATGTTTTTCTCAAAATGACACTGTATCAGCCACGTGTCTTATTATTAAACAAAGTACAAAATCAAAAATGTGCTGGATTGATTTTGACAATGAGGTTCCAGAGAATGTTCTAACAGAGATGGAAACTAAATCAGACACCAAATGTATTATTTAGATTTGAAATATAAAAATAAAATTAAAAAAAAAAAAAAAAAAAAGATTAAATCTAAATGATTCAAAATCCACAGTGCTGCAGGACAGCGGAAATACTGAAATCTTTCTAGTTTGAATTTATTTTCCAGTCTCAAGATCATTACTGAACCGCAACGGTGCAACTGGCATCTGCATATTTTGGGAACGTGTTTTTCTTTGGGGCCTGTGCAGTCTCCTCACAGATCAGATTGAACAGGTTTCAACTATAAAACTGTACTTGTATAGCACCTTTCTAGTCTTCTTACCACTCAAAGCACGACATGCCTTGTTCACCCATTCACATACATCCATACACCAATGCACAGCATTAGTGGACAAGCTGTTCTACCTTCTGAGCACACAGCCACCCCTGTAGTGTGTTCAGTTTATATTCAAAAGTGTTAATCCTACACCAAACTTCTATTTCTATTTTGACCTCTCATAACATTCCATATAAATTACAAAAAACAAATCAATTAATCATTATGTGATTTGTAGTAAAATGAATAGTATACATTGAATAAATAATGCATTGCGAAGTTTGTAATCACAGTTATTGCCCAACTTGTTGATTGGCAGGTGTTTTTCTTGTTTAAAAATCAATGCAGAGGCAAGGGAGGTTTATATTAAGTATCTGATATCTTGAGTGTCTCATAACAAGAGGGTTCATTTTCATATTATAGACCCCCAGGACTTTGTCCTAAGTATTTTTTAAAAATAAAATAAAATAGGTTTGAAGACAATAGTCTTCATAGTCAATCAATAATCAAAGTAGGTTCACTATAAATTATCAATCAAAACAGTCAACCCTATTTCTTCCCTTGTTATTTCTCCTCCCAAAAAATTGCTAAGATTTTTTATATTTGAATCCTCCTTTTGCTGAGGACCCCCTACCACCTACTCAAGGACCCCTGTTGGTCCCTGGACCCCAATTTGAAAGTTACTGTCATAAACCAGGCTCATGAACAGGCCTGCTGTGACACACTGAACCTGAGTTAAAGTGTTTTATGAAGCCAACTTCGAGCTGATGAGATCAGACTGAATGAATGAATGGAGACCAGAAGGGAGGTGTAGATCCCCTTTATTTTAAAGAAAAATCAAAGATCTATGAAGGTAAAGCAACACATTATCCTGGATGGAACAGTACAACCAGGGTACAAAGGATAAGCGTGACGACAGAGTGACAGTGTCCTTGTGTGCAGTTGGACTCATTTAAGGAAGTGGACCTTTCTCCAAAAAAATGAAAAAAATGGCACAAAATGTAAACAGTATATTGTCATGTCTAATCACAGTATCTAATTAGGATTGGTGAATTCTATATGGAAACCCTTTTTCTGTCCAGAATAAATTGCTTAATACGTATTTAAGGTAGTGAAGAGAGTGACCTCCAGCCACAGTTCAAGGCAATACACATCACAGCACTACCTCTGTTCTCACAGGGCACACTACTCTGACCTAACAATGGATCTCTAGAGCATGCATTCATGTTGCTTTGATACAGCAGTGAAAATCCTACTGCAACCCAGTCTCAATGATTTAAAGTCATAAGCAACATTATGCATCATTAATTTATGTTTAGGAAGAACCGTTATCCCACTCATTATATATATATTTGGAAAGGCTATGCAAAAAGTAATGAGACTATCATACAGTGCAGCAAAGAGTGCTATGTGGCTTCTCTTTCCATCTCATAATAGTATCCCAGAATTGACATTTTACTATTTAACTAAACATCCAGCCTTTTTTCTACTGTTACCAAAAAGCTAGCTAACGATTGGTGAAGATTAGCTAGCTAGTTACATCTTAAAGGTAAAGTTAGAAAAACTTACATTAACTAACGTGCTAACTAATTGACATATTATTGGTATATAGGCATTATGTTTCCCCTAAAACTGCTACTGCACAATGGTGCAGTGGTTTTGTAGTTAAACAACCAGTCAAGCTTTGGAGATCCACTGTTGTTCCAGTAGCTGTCCATTAGAACAAAATGAAGACTGTGAGTGCAGTTGGTGGCCAGAGGGGAAGAATTAGACTATCACAGAATTCTTGGAGGCAGAGCTGACTGAATTGAACCTCACTGTGGAAAGCCAAGATCTCTATTCTTTCCATATTTCTGTGTCCAGACGCACTACCTCCAACAGACAGATGTGTTTATGCCTCCTCAAGAGATGTGAAAAACAGAACTGTAAATATGTATAACAACAAAACAATGAACATACAGGTCAAAATATAAAAGCTTCATTCATGGCAGGTTTGAATGTTTCTCAGTTTGTCAATGAAGTTATTTAATTGTAGAATCAGCAAGTTCTAAATGTTGGTCTGCATGCTCGTGTCTCCATGTCTCAGTTAAATCAAAACAAATCAAAGCCCATAATCTATGTACATGGCACATAACCGTATCATGCTTTGTTTGAGCCTTAAGTGTGGCTTTAATTCCTTAAAGAAATTCAAAATGCTTAAAGTTCACTTAATGAATGTGAAAAATATATTCTCAGATGATCCTTTATGGATACCCAGCCAGTATTCACAAACACTAAGAAATACTAGAAACTAGGTGTTGCTGTATTACACAATTTTAATCTGACTGTTTGACTCTGATCTGAGATATGAGTGATCATTTAAGTTGCATCAGTAAAAAGTGCAGTAAATTGTAGTATGATATTTTAGTTTTGGAGCACTGTGTGTCCAATGTTGGACTGAGATGGCAGTCAGCATCATGCCCTCATCTTGTCTTGCAATGAGTAAGAACTGTAACAGCTACAAGAACAACTGGTCTGTTGGCAAATCACAAATATTTGGCCACCTGAACGTCAGTATTGTCCTTTACTGCTGACAGGAACAACAATTCAGTTCATGTAAACATGATGATATGGGATGATATGAATAGAGTTAGAGTATCTCGGTAAAGTGATTTTGCTTATATTAAAGGAGAGTTTCTAGTTCTCATTCCTTCTGTCCTTAACGGCCAATGAGGTGGTCTAATCCTGAAGCCACTCCTCATACAACATCAATGCTGCAATGCTCTTGTATCTTATAGTGCTAGCTGAGCCTTTCTTACTCCCGCTCTTTTTTGCTCTGTGCTCAAATAACAGTTAAGGAAAGCCTTGGTAATGACCTCAGTCAACTTTATCATTTCCTGCACTTATGCTATGTGCTAGGCTAATCTGTGTTGAGAACACAACCGCATTTTGTAGATGGTTAAAAGATAAAAGTTAGACAATTAACTAGGGCTGGGCGATATGGCTTGAAAATAAAATCGCAGATTTTTTCACACCAAACCCGATTTACGATTTACATCGATTTTTTTGTACTGTTTTTTTAGCGGGTGTTTGTGGGCTGCGGTCCTGTATATCTCGCAGAGAGCAACATTTCTCCCACTCGGCTGCATGCCCTCTGCTTGAGGTGCTGGAATAAATTGGTCGTACTGCTACCTTTGGTTGCAACAGCTTTCAAACTAACTTTGCAGTGGGTCGTGGTTTGTTCGCTGTCAGACGCCACAAAACCAAACCAGTTCCAAACAACCGACAACACTGTGCCTTTTTTGGGGAGGAGCTCATCCTGGCTTGCTGCCATGTTGTGTGTATCTGTGGAGAGGCGGGGGGAGGGGTCAGCACACTCTGACCTACGGGAGCCCAAAGGGAGCGCCGGTGTTGTGGAAGTTCAAGAGAAAACCGATTTTAACTAAAAATAAATTGTGTTTAACAACAAATTTGAATTAATCGATAAAATCGATTTATCGCCCAGCCATACAGTTAACTAGTGTTTTGCCAAAATTAGCTTTCAGATATAACTAGCTAGTTAACGATTGATGTAGATTAGCTAGCTAGTATCTAGCATTTTTCTAACATTAGCTAGCTAACTTAAGCTAAAAGATATATATATATATATATATATATATATATATATATATATATATATATAGATACACAGACATATAGAAAAGGAGGAAGTTGACTGAAGTTCTGACTAAGGCTTGCTCAACTGTTATTGGAGCAGAGCAAAAAGGGGCAATGCTTCTGTCTTTTCCTCCATGTAGCATTACTCTATTACACAGCTGGTTATATTTTGTGCAACAAGTACCAGACAGTACAAAAAGCTCTATGTGTGTGTGCACATCTTTTGTCTTGTTATGATCAATTATACAGTCTCGACACAACTGTTCACAACTGGCTCTTCAACATGTTCGGAAAAGTGAATTCAACTTAAAAATGTGGTCATGAAGGGGAGAGCCCTGTAGTATAACGTGACTGCCTGTGATTGGCCCAGCCTCTAACATGTAATGTATGATATCCTTTCTGCTCCCACCTCCAACACACTGGACAGGGAAATGACAGCCCTTTGTCTTAGTTTCAGTCAGACGTTGGATTGAATTGATCCCTCCTGAGCTCAGCCCCTTTTTTCTCTGTGCTCAGACAGTTGAGTCTATGTTGAAAAGACAAACACATTGAAGATGGTTAACAGATAAAAGCCACATACATACATGGTCACATCTTACATACATAGGCACTAGCTAGCTGTTGTTAGAAAAGCGCTAGCTAACTAACTAGCTAATCCATATAATATGTATAAAAATACATTATTAAGAAGCTAGTTAGCTAGTGTTTGACTACAGAGCAAAACACTAGTTAACTAGCTAACTAATCTACATTTGTTAGCTGGGTAGTTACATCAGATAGCTAATGTTAGCAACATGTCCTTTGTCTGCAAACAGCATCGGAGAAACAGTGATTTTTATGGTGAAACTGCTTTATTCAGTGTTTTTACTGGTTTTAATCAGCGGGTCTGTTTGTTTTGGAGAAAAGAAGACCTCTGAGGAGGAGAAACTGAACTGAATGATGAACACAGAAGGAATCCTAACCAGGAGAAGAGGACTACAATGACAGCAATGGTGGTGAAGATAACAACTTCACCACGTGATCAAACTTCATCTTTTGTCATTTCTTTAATGTGAGAGAGCCCCTAGCAGCAGAATTTACATATTGTATGAAGATGTATATATACTATATATATATATGTCTCTTTTGTCTTTTTGTCATCTTCAAAATTTGGTTGTCTTTTCAACATGGATGAGCCTAGCACATTACAGGAAGTACAGGAAGGAAAGAGTTGGCTATAGTTCCAAAAGGGGCGGGACTTAGGAAGGGTTTGAAAACAAGGATGCTCCTTGTAACGATCCCTCCTTTCATCCAGCTGCACTACTGTCAAACCCACACTTGTTGTCATGTTAACCCGGCGTACACATTCCAGATATCATTTACTTGCAGTATACGCCCATAAATGCAGCATATTTTTATGCTTTAAGTCTATTTTCTTCCGTTTTACGCATGTAACCACAGTGACTGTGTGTTGGGCACTGAGTTCAGCCAAAACATGGGCAGCCTATATTAAATATTGGGCCTTAAAGGAGGACTGAAGCTGCTGCTGCTCACACTAGGCATCCTGGGTAGACAGTGTTAGGGTTAGGCCTAATGGTATATCAAGGCTCTGTTGCAGGGAGTTTGTTCTTTCTGCCCTCCACTGGTCAAAATAACTTAATGCTACTTACAGATACTGTTTCTGATAATCTGTATCTGGTTTTAAGATTTAATGTCTGTGTAGTGCATTGCGTTGGAAAAGAATTCCCTTCAGCCATCTCTATAAAATGACCTACTATGATCGCTTGTTCTCATCTGAACCATGAGATTATAAAGATTATTGAACATATTTCTCACGAGCACTGGCAACAGTTTCACCAGCACACAGCCAGTCACGGACCAACACAGCTTTTTGGTGAGTACAACCTTCAGCAGGACTTCACTGACATGGTCGAACACAGCAGGGTGCTTTGCACAGTAAACAGCTGCTGTTGAGAGAAGACCAGGAACCCTCTGAGGGCAGGGTCTGGGCACAGTGTCCACGAAGTCTGGGGCACATTGAGGTTTGTGTGTGTAAAGTGGGAGGAGTTTAAATGTTGTGTAAAACAGGTAAATGCTTTGTCTGTTGTTGTGTCTGTTGGGTCAGTTCATTTTCAATTCACTCAGTTATAACAGTCATATTAGTTAGATTGCTCTGCCAGTGGCATATGGAAGTCACCAAGACCAATTTTAAAATGATCAAATTTCAATCAGATTGAAATATAATTTGCCATTTGTGGGTGCAAATGAATAAAATTGTGTCACAAGTGTCACAATGTATTACAGCCAAAAGTAAAATTAAAACGCTTTAGATTACGGACCTCTTTTCTAAAGTCAAAATACTAATATAGGTATTTAGGAACTATGTAGTTATATCATATATGATTTTGTTATCATCTGTACTCGTCCATTGTTGGTAAGTTACTGAAAATTAGTAATTAGTTACAGTTACTTACAAAAGTAATTGTATTACCAATTACTGCATATGAAAGTAATTAGTTTTCTAGGGAAAGTAACTTTTGTGTTACTTTTAAATGCCTGATTTATTTTACTTATTAATGCACACAGATACTACTTTAGTGTTGCTGTGGGACAAGACAAATGTATTCAGTTATTAATACTCCTGACCACCAGAGGGCAGCAACAACTCGCATTCCCTCCTATGTCCACTTTATATATTACTTCATGTTGTTTACAAGGTTCATTATTAGAAGGTAGGTTAGCTCAGATAATGTGAATTGTTAAGGTTAAAATACCCTCTGCTCTACACTGTTGAACCAAACTCTATTCTAAAAGCAGCTGTTTTATGGTAGGGCCATATTTTTTACAATAAAAACTTTATTTACACCATCACTAAGATTCTTTTCTTATCGGCTTCGATCTACAAGCAAAATCAGCACACATGTAATTTACTCACTTAACATCATTAACTAACCTGTGATGAAGTGTTTTCCACAGATGGACACATACTGAGGTATGGTCCCACAGTTTACCCCTTTCATATTGAAACCACAGATCTCTTCTTTTACTGTCCTTCGCTAAACTGTTTTTTTTCAACTGTTTGATATACAAAATGTGACACTGCTGGGGGCAGCACTTCTACACAGCTTGTTTTCACCCATAAGGGGTTGTGGTTGATCTGAAGACACAAAAGTTAGGTATGCATGCTCTCATCTATTGCCTGACCCTTGGTCACTGTGAGGTCGGGTGACGTTAGATCATAAACCAGAAAATCAAGGGATAGGCTCCGATGAGCTGCGTTTTTCTGCCATCTTCTGCAGTTTCAGTAATACTGATTGCATTATTTAATTGTTAATCAGTATCCGTTATGGCCAAAAGTAGTGGAATTACACTAACATTATTTCCAACAAGTAAGTAGTATATGGTAATTTATAAGTCACTGCAGTTTCATAAAATCCTACACTGAGTTTATTATGTCTGTCATCTTCCCCCAGGTACCTGTTAAAAAATACTACAATATAAATTATTTTGAAAGGTCCAGTGTGTAACATTACTGAGGATCTATTGGCAGAAATGTAATATAATATTCATAGGTATATTTTCATTAGTGTATAATCACCTGAATATAAGAATCATTGTACTACCTTAGAATTAGCTGTTTTTATCTACATGTTAAAGCGCGATGTTTCTCCAGTAGCTAAGAACGGACAAACCAAACACTGGCTCTAACTAGGGCATTTATTTTGTGAGTTTTGCGGCCACCGTAGCTTCTCCTACATACTTTAAAGACGAGTGGTATTCAGTTGGTTGAATCCTACACACTAGTCCTTTAATTTCCCACACTTCACATGTTCTCTTGTACCTATGTACCTACCTTGTACGTATCTGTGCATACAGTACTAGTACACCATCAGTACAAATAATTACAAGAATATTGCTGTACGGTGAAGGTCGTAATCTAAAGCGTTGCCTCAAACATGAACATTGCAGCATTCAGGATACTAGCAGGACTTTAAGTGTAGCCTTTAAGTAACCTTTCTTCCAATCAAATCAACTAATAGTAAAAGAGAATTAGGTTGCATTAATCATGATTTGATCAAACAATATCTGACATTTCCAAAATGTATAATTAATAATATATTAAATAATCTTTTTATACTCTGTATTTCACGCGGACATTTTGTGAAGCAGGAAACCGTTTTATCTGAATTAAGAAATCAGAAAATGAAGAATGAAGTATGTTTCAGAAATGTAGCTTTCAGTTTGTATTTCAGAAGGTGTGAATAGAGAGTGAAGTGACCCCAGCTGTGATATGTCAGGTTGCACTTATGTTACGAGGTGTCAGGGTTGTCGTCTGCAGGTTCAGGCAGTTCCTGTGGTCTGTACATGAAGGTGAGGAGGAACAAAGCCACATCATAAGAGCACCAATAGGCCGTGTGTGACGTCACTGCTGACCAATAGCGGCTCTCCACCAAGCCCTCCCGCAGCTCAAAGTCAATGCGCCTCTCCAGTTCCACTGGAAGAGAGAAAGTGACGGGTCAGTAACACGCAAGCTGCCTCTAGTGGTACACAGAGGAATCTCGGAAATATCTTTTTGACATGTAAAAAATTAAAAAACAAAATACTATAAAAAAAATTTAATGAAAATACTATAACACTGAAATACAATTTCATATAGGTTTTGCATTTCCTGTCAAATTTGTTTCAATATCAGCCTGCTGTGGGCATACATCCATAATTTGTTGGGAGCTAAAATGTGATGTAAGATAGTAAGCAGAGGTAAAATGAATAGTTTGAGAAAAACACTGTCATTTACAGTGCTGTGAAAAAGTATTTGCCCCCTTCCTGAGTTCTTATTTTTTTGCATTTGTCACACTTAAATGTTTCAGATCATCAAACAAATTTTTATATTAGACAAAGACAACCTGAGTAAATACAAAATGCTGTTTTTAAATGATCATTTCATTTATTAAGGGAAAAAAGCTATCCAAACCCACCTGCCCCTATGTGAAAAAAAAAAGTATTTGCCACCTAATAACTGGTTGTGCCACCCTTAGCAGCAACAACTGCAATCAAGCGATTGTGATAACTGGCAATGAGTCTTTCACTTCGCTGTGGAGGAACTTTGGCTCTCTTCTTTGCAGGATTGTTTTAGTTCAGCCACATTGGAAGGTTTGAGCATTAACGGCCTGTTTAAGGCCATGCCACAGCATCTCAATCGGATTTAAGTCCGAACTTTGTCACTCCAAAACCTTAATTTTGTTTTTTTCAAGCCATTCAGAGGTGGACTTGCTGGTGTGTTTTGGATCATTGTCCTGCTGCATAACCCAAGTGCGCTTGAACTTGAGGTCACAAACTAATTTTGTATTTACTCGGGTTATCTTTGTCTAATATTTAAATTTGTTTGATGATCTGAAACATTTAAGTGTGACAAATATGCAAAAAAATAAGAAATCAGGACGGGTGCAAATACTTTTTCAAAGCACTGTATTAGTATGATTGATATCTAGTTTCAGGTGAATTTGGTAAATGATAAATGGACTGTACTTATATATACCTTTCTAGTCTTCCAACCACTCAAAGCACTGTACACTACAAGTCACATTCACCCTTTCACACACATTCATACACTGATGGCAGCAGCTGCCATGCAAGGTGCCAACAGCTCATCAGAAACAGAAACAATTTCTCACCAAAAGCACGGTACTTACACGAGGTATTGTCCATGACAGCTGAGGTGGACTGGGACATGGCAGGCTCCACCTCCCCCCTCTCCTCCTCTATCTGTTTGTCCTTGTCTTCGCTCTCTGTCACCGTTACCCCTTCCTCTCCTGATGCCACATTTTCCACCTCGGAGGCTCCGCTCTCTGAATCTGAAGGCTCCTCCTCCACTCCCCCTACCTGGCCACTGGAACGGGAAAAGCGGGAAAACAGGATTCCTCCGATTCCCTTTCCAAGGCTTGCAGCACCTGAGGGGCAGAAAGATTCATGCATCAATATGTGATTCATTCACTTCAGTTATCAATACTCTCCTATCACTATCAATGCATTCCTATTGAAGCCTAGTATTCATGTTAAATTAGGTTTTGACCTATCTCTTGGCCCTGCAGTGGGTATCAGGCTGTGCTGTCAGAAATCGACTGAGACCTCTGACAGACGACACCATCCTTTAGCCCTGACCTGAACCTTTAAGCCACCTTTAACTCCTACTGTCACCCAAGCAAAGACTGTGGCATGACCCGGCCTTATATCTACATTGTATCTGCTCAGGTTAAACTTCAGTGGCCTGATAGGCAACTTCAGCTCAGTTGTCCATCCACCATCTGTGTTTAACTGGTTACACGAGTCCAGGGATGTCAAACTGTCGGCCCGTTGGCCATTTCAGGCCCTTCATCCCTCTCCCTCCTGACATGATGTCCAAAATATAATATGCTATATAAGATTTTTATTATTATATGACAGCAGGTAGGTTTGGTAGACGGCTGTGGTTTACAAACGTAAATATAGTAAGATTGTTATCCACGTCGGCGGTAATGACACCCGTTTAACAATTAAAACCAACTCCTCAGTAGCACAAAATAAGAGAATGAAATGTGTCATGTCCAGGAAACTTTGTTAAGTTTATTTATTCTGTTTTGTCACGTGCCTATGTTGTCTTGTAATTTCCTGTTTTATTTTGGTTCTACTTCCTGTCTGTCTCTTGTCACCAGCTTTACTTTCTCCCTTTGTCTCTTTTCCTGCTCCTGGGATTACCTGTCTCCGCCCTGATTGTTTCCACCTGTGCCCTTACCTTGTGTGTGTATATATAGTCCGTGTCTCCCTTTGTCCTGTGCCAGTTTGTCTTGTCCCATGCACCAGAGAACCAGCGCTTTATTGATCCATGTCCAATTGTCAGGTCTTGTTGTTTTGTTACTTTGTTTGCTCGTGATCTTCTGTTTGTTGTCTTAGTCTTAGCATTTCCTCGCAAGAGTGATTTTCTGTTTGTTTTAGTCCTAGTATTTCCTCGCAAGAGTGTTTATTGTTTTGTTAATAAAACTTTATTTTGATACTTTTGTCTGAGTTGTGCAATTGGGTTCTAGTCCATAGTTCGGTCGTGACAGAACGAACTGGCCAGCATGAACCCAGCCAGCTCAGACCACCTGTCGGCAGCCATACGCTCACAAGGCGCCCGCCTTAATCTGCAGGAGGACCAGATGTCCGCCCTGCAACAAGGAGTGAGAATGCTGGGAGGCAGTCAAGAAGAATTTAGGTCTGGCATGACTGCCCAAGTGACTATCTTGACTACCCAGATTGAGCAGGTGCTTGCTCACCTGACCAAGAACCCCTCAGCCACGCCTTCCCCGGCGACCGCCGCAGCACCACCAGTTCCGGCTACCCACGCCCTGACTCCTCATCTTGCTCCACCCGAAAAAATTTCTGGTGAGTCTGGAGAATGCCGTTCATTCATTGTGGACTGTGAAATGCACTATGAACAATTGCCATCAGCCTTCCCCACAGAAAAATCCAAGGTGGCTTTCATGATCTCCCATCTCACTGGGAGAGCACGGGATTGGGCTACGGCAGAATGGTCCCGTGGATCACCGATCTGTCAATCCGGGGATTGGTTCATAGAGGCGTTGAGAGTTTTCGACCCTACCACGTCAGGCAGAGAAACGGCACGCAAGCTGAGCAGCATCAGGCAAGGCAAGGACTCTGTTTCTGATTATGCCATCCGCTTCCGCACCTTAGCCACAGATAGCGGATGGAATTCCACAGCACTGTATGATGCTTTTATCAAAGGACTTGCTGAGTCCATACAAGATTTGTTGGTTCCTCTCGATCTGCCTGAGGATCTTGACTCTCTGATCGCATTAGCGGTCAGAACTGACCATCGCCTGACAGAGCGGAAGAGAGACAAGTCCCAAGCTACAGTTTTCCTGGACCACGCCAGAGGTCGTCCTTCGCCTGCCTCACACGGATGGAGGGATTCTATCCGTTCGTCATCGCCAGTCCCGAGGAGAGCAACACCCCCCAGCTACTCGGAGGAGCCCATGCAGCTAGGAAGGGCCAAGTTGTCTGCAGAGGAGCGACGACGACGTCGCCTACAGGAAGGGAGGTGCTTCTATTGTGGACAGGGACATCTGCTGGCAGCATGCCCAGTCAAAGGGAGAGCCCACCAGCTGGAGAAGGGATTCTGGGTGAGTCACTCCTCCACCTCTGACAGCCCCTCCCACTCCCTGACTGACATCCAGGTAAAACACCATGACATTACGGTTTCTCTGGGAGTATTAATTGACTCTGGGGCAGATGAAAGCTTCATGGATTGGGATTTTGCTCAAAAGCTAAATGTTAAGACTGAACCTTTATCGCTGCCCTTGGAGGCTAGTGCCTTAGATGGCAGCTTCATTTTTAAAGTAACCCATGTAACTGAGCCAGTAGAAGTGACCATTGAGGATCACCATGAACTGATGTCTTTTCACCTGATGCACTCTGCCCAACACCCTCTGATCCTGGGGTTCCCCTGGCTCAAGAGACATAACCCCCACATTGACTGGTGTTCAGGGAAAGTTATGGGATGGGGAAGGCCTGGGGTAGGAGCAGGGCTTGACCTGAACAAAAAGGTGGAAATTGGGGTGGTTGCTGACCTTAACTCTGCTTCTGTTCTGCCCCACACAGACTTAAAGGTTGACCGGCCTGACCTGACCTCCATTCCCAGTTGCTACCATGATCTCGGGGAGGTATTCCTTAAGAGTAAGGCCATGTCTCTACCACCCCATCGACCTTATGACTGTCCTATTGAACTTATCCCAGGGGCATCGATTCCAAAGGGAGGTTATATTCCATTTCGGGCCCTGAGAAGGTAGCTATGACTATATTGAGCCCTCATCCTCCCCAGCAGGGGCAGGGTTTTTCTTTGTGGGTTAAAAAGATGGTTCCCTGAGACCCTGTATTGACTATGGACCTCTACATGACATTACCATTAAGAATCGGTACCCTCTGCCTCTCATGTCATCTGCCTTTGAACAACTGCAACAGGCCAAGATTTTTACAAAGCTTGACCTGAGAAACGCGTATCACCTGGTCCACATTAGAGAGGGGGATGAGTGGAAGACTGGTTTTAACACTCCTTCAGGGCATTATGAATACCTGGTAATGCCATTTGGACTGACCAATGCTCCTGCAGTATTTCAGGCCCTAATCAATGACGTACTGAGGGAATTCCTCAACCAGTTTGTTTGTCTATGTGGATGACATCCTGATCTTCTCCCCAGATAAAGATTCTCATGTTGATCATGTCCGCCAGGTTCTCCAGCGCCTGCTGCAGAACCAGCTTTATGTTAAAGCAGAAAAAAGTGAATTTCATGCCAAATCTGTCTTTCCTGGGCTTCATCATAGCCCCTGGTCAGATACAAATGGACCCGGCTAAAGTTAGCGCTGTGGCTCAGTGGCCTACACCTGATAATCGCAAGAACGTCCAGCAAATTTCTGGGCTTTGCTAACTTCTACAGGCGGTTTATCAGAAACTTCAGCGCAATAGCTTCTCCTCTTCATGTTCTCACGTCTCCTCAAGCTCCATTCCTGTGGTCTCCTCAAGCTGAGGAGGCCTTCACCCGGCTCAAGGAGATGTTCACCACCGCTCCCGTTCTCACGGTTCCAGACCCCAGTCGGCAGTTTGTGGTGGAGGTGGATGCCTCCAACGAAGGAGTAGGGCCGGTTCTCTCGCAGCGCTCTGCCAAGGACCACAAGCTGCATCCATGTGCCTTTCTGTCCAGGAAGCTTTCACCAGCAGAGCGGAACTATGATGTCGGTAACCATGAGTTACTTGCTGTGAAGATAGCATTGGAAGAATGGAGACATTGGTTAGAGGGGGCCCAACATCCATTTGTGGTCTGAACCGATCATAAGAACCTTGAGTATATTCGCAAGGCCAAGCGTTTGAATTCCCGCCAAGCCAGATGGACTTTTAACCGTTTTGATTTTACCTTGTCTTACAGGCCGGGTCCCGGAACACCAAGCCTGATGCCTTGTCTCGTCTGTTTGACCCCGAGCCTGCTGCCAAGGAACCTGAGCCCATCCTACCACGACACCGTGTGGTAGGAGCTGTAACATGGCAGATAGAATCAGAGGTGAAGCGGGCTAATGGTGAGAACCCTACACCTAGTGGTTGTCCGGCAAATCGCCTGTTTGTCCCTGTTGCTTTGCGTCCACAGGTGATTCACTGGGCTCACACCTCTCGGCTTACCTGCCATCCGGGAATCAAGAGAACGATGTACGCCATCCAACAAAGGTTCTGGTGGCCCTCCATGGAACGTGAGGTCCGGGAGTATGTGGAGGCGTGTCCTGTCTGTGCCAGGAACAAGACCTCCTCCCATGCTCGGATGGGACTGCTGCAACCTCTCCCAATACCCAGTCGACCATGGGCTGAGATTTCATTGGACTTTGTCACAGGGCTCCCAGTCTCCCAAGGTAACACCACTGTTCTTACAGTGGTGGACAGATTCTCTAAGATGACTCTTTGGCTACCAACCTCCCTTGTTTCCAGAGACAGAGAAAGAGGTCATCGTCCCGTCTGCCCATGCCATGGTCCGGCGTTGCCACCGCATCTGGACAGCTGCTCGTAGGGTCCTCCTGCATAGTGCGGACCGCATGAAGAAGGCTGCAGATCGGAGGCGCCGACCTGCTCCTGCATACCAGCCAGGCCAGAAAGTCTGGCTTTCAACACGGGATTTGCCACTCCATGTCGTCTCCCGGAAGTTAGCTCCCAGGTTTCTGGGTCCATTCCCTGTGTCCAAAGTGATTAATCCTGTCTCTGTCCGTCTGCGCCTTCCCAGGTCCCTGAGGGTGCATCCTACTTTTCATGTTGGCAAGCTCAAACCGGTTAAGGAGAGTCCCATGGTTCCCGCAGCCGTACCTCCTCCACCCCCCCGAATGGTCGACGGTGGTCCAGTCTTCTCAGTTAAGAGACTCTTAGCAGTTCGTAACCACGGAAGAGGACGCCAGTATCTGGTGGACTGGCCGGGCTATGGCCCGGAAGAACGCTCGTGGGTACGCTCAAGCTTTATTATGGACCCAGCCCTCATCAGAGACTTCCACAACCGTCATCCTCAGGTTCCTGGTCCGTCAGGAGACGTCCCTAGAGGGGGGGGGTACTGTCATGTCCAGGAAACTTTAAGTTTATTTATTCTGTTTTGTCACATGTCTATGTTGTCTTGTAATTTCCTGTTTTATTTTGGTTCTACTTCCTGTCTGTCTCTTGTCACCAGCTTTACTTTCTGCCTTTGTCTCTTTTCCTGCTCCTGGGATTACCTGTCTCTGCCCTGATTGTTTCCACCTGTGTGTGTGTGTGTGTGTGTGTGTGTGTGTGTGTGTGTGTGTGTGTGTGTGTGTGTGTGTGTGTGTGTGTGTGTGTGTGTGTGTGTGTGTGTGTGTGTGTGTGTGTGTGTGTGTGTGTGTGTGTGTGTGTGTGTGTGTGTGTGTGTGTGTGTGTGTGTGTGTGTGTGTGTGTGTGTGTGTGTGTGTGTGTGTGTGTGTGTGTGTGTAAAAATTAGTCCGTGTCTCCCTGTGCCAGTTCGTCTTGTCCCATGCACCAGAGAACCAGCGCTTTATTGATCCATGTCCAATTGTCAGGTCTTGTTGTTTTGTTACTTTGTTTGCTCGTGATCTTCTGTTTGTTTTCTTAGCCATAGCATTTCCTCGCAAGAGTGTTTATTTTGTTAATAAAACTTTATTTTGATACTTTTGTCTGAGTTGTGCAATTGGGTTCTAGTCCATAGTTCGGTCGTGACAGAAATGTGGACTGTTAAATATCAGGTCTCTGTCCTCTAAAGCTGTTTTAGTGAATGAATTAATATCAGATTATAATATTGATTTACTTTGTCTTACTGAGACCTGGTTGTCCCATAAGGAGTATGTTAGCCTTAATGAATGTGGATGTTAACAATGACAGCCTTAGTAACACATTTATATCATTAATAGACTCAATTGGCTTCTGTCAGAGTGTAAATAAACCAACTCATTGTTTTAATCACTCTTGACCTTGTATCATATGGCATTGATATTGAACATTTAATAGTCTTCCCACATAATCCTTTCCTATCTGACCATTATTTAATAACTTTTGAATTCATACTATAATCTTAAAACTTATAGAAAGGCCCTCCGTAATGCCAGAGGAGCCTATTACTCAGCACTAATAGAAGAAAATAAGAATAACCCTAGGTTCCTCTTCAGCACTGTAGCCAGGCTGACAGAGAGTCACAGCTCTATTGAGCCACATATCCCCATGAACTTGGGTAGCAATGACTTCATGAGCTTCTTCTATAATAAAATATTACTATTTTTTTTTAGAAAAAATTAATCACCAACCGCCATCAACAATTATCAGTGGCTCTCCAAGTTCAGGGACTTCTGTCAGTGTAAACTTAGATATATATTTAGACTGTTTTTCTGCTATCGATCTTCATCAGTTATCTTCAATCATTTCTTCATCGAAGCCATCAACCTGTCTATTAGACCCGATCCCAACTAGGCTGCTTAAAGAAGTTGTTCCCTTAATTGGCACTTCTTTACTGGATATGATTAATCTTTCCTTATTATCAGGATATGTACCACAGTCCTTTAAAGTAGCTGTAATTAAACCCCTTCTTAAAAAGTCCACTCTTGACCCAGGGGTTTTAGCCAACTATAGACCGATTTCTAACCTCCCCTTCCTCTCTAAGATTCTGAAGAAAGTAGTCGCCAAAGAATTGTGACTTTCTACATAACAATAGTTTATTTGAGGATTTTCAGTCAGGATTTAGAGTTCATCATAGCACAGAGACAGCTCTGGTTAAAGTTAATAATGACCTTCTGACTGCTTCTGACAATGGACTTGTCTCTGTACTTGTATTATTAGATCTTAGTGCTGCATTTGACACTATTGACCATAATATTCTTTTACAGAGACTTGAGCATCAAATTGGCATTAAAGGAACCGCACTAAGCTGGTTTAACTCATATTTATCAGATCGCTCGCAGTTTGTACACGTTAACGATGAATCTTCAATAAATACTACAGTTAGTCATGGAGTTCCACAAGGTTCTGTACTTGGACCAATACTATTTACTTTATATATGCTCCCTTTAGGCAACATTATTAGGAATCACTCCATCAACTTTCACTGTTATGCAGATGATACGCAGTTATATCTATCAATCAAGCCCGATGAAATTAATCAATTATCTAAATTACAAACATGTCTTAAGGACATAAAATCCTGGATGAGCTGCAATTTTCTGATGTTAAACTCAGAAAAAAACTAAATTCTTGTTCTTGGCCCCAAAAACCTTAGAGACTCACTGTCTAAAGATATAGTTACTCTAGATGGCATTACCTTGGCCTCTAGCACCACTGTCAGGAATCTTGGAGTTATCTTTGATCAGGATTTGTCATTTAACTCCCACATAAAGCAGACCTCCAGGACTGCCTTCTTTCATTTACGTAATATTACAAAAGTTAGACACATCCTGTCACAGACAGATGCAGAAAAACTAATCCATGCATTTGTTACTACAAGGCTGGATTACTGCAACTCTTTATTATCAGGTTGCCCCAATAAGTCCATTAAAACGCCCCAATTAATTCAGAACGCTGCAGCACGAGGGAACAGGAACTAGAAAAAGAGATCACATCTCTCCTGTACTAGCTTCTCTGCATTGGCTCCCTGTAAAATGTAGAATAGAATTTAAAATCCTCCTCCTCACCTATAAAGCTCTTCATGGTCAGGCCCCTTCATATCTTAAAGAGCTCATAGTACCCTGTTACCACACTAGAACACTACGTACTCTGAATGCTGGGCTACTTGTGGTTCCTATAGTCTCTAAAAGTAGAACAGGAGCCAGAGCCTTCAGTTACCAAGCTCCTCTCCTGCGGAACCAGCTTCCAGTTGTGGTTCGGGAGGCAGACACCCTCTCCACATTCAAGAGTAGGCTTAAGACATTCCTCTTTGATAAAGCTTATAGTTAGGGCTGGATCAGGTGAGTCCTGAACCATCCCTTAGTTATGCTGCTATAGGCCTAGACTATCGGGGGATTTCCCATGGTGCACTGAGCTCCTGTCTTCCTCTCTCTTTCTGCACTCATTCATGTCCCATTAATGCATGTTACTAACTTCACTTCTTCCCTGGAGTTCTTGTGCTTTCTCGTCTCGTAGGTTCTTATTGATCCTGGTGGAGCCTCCTGCCATGGTCCTGCTAGATTGCCATTGCCAATACTTTTGTTGCTGTGCACCTGTCTTTCTGTCTGTCTCTCTGTCTCTCTCTGTCTCTCTCTCTCTCTCTCACCCCAACTGGTCGAGGCAGACGACCACCCACCTAGAGCCGAAGGATCTGTCCTAGGTTTTTGTATATAATGTGCTTTTAGTCTTCACTCTACATTTGTTGCATAAAGGGAACGTAACATCATGCTGCCAGTCCAGGAGACAGGAGCTAATTGCTTCTATTGATCTGTTTAGACCGTGCTTAGTGTCCACTGCTTGCCTTGCTACAATATCAGCAGCGCAAGCAGCTCCTATTTCCCTCAGCTAGGATCAGCTACACAGGGAGTTTGTGGCTGTTGTTAAAAAAAAAAAAAAGAAATGCCACTTATATTCCACTGGGCATGGCATTATGATGTTGCAACAGGGTTTGACTCCATCATCCACATGTCTTTAAATCCCACCAAGAGCATTTCAGAAGCCCAATGGCCCGAAGTTGTTGACTAGTGTATTTTGTCTCTGTTTATTGTGTTTTTTTACTTTTTTGATGCAGGGTGAAATATGAACCGTAGTCCACACAAGGTATTTTTATTTTGAAAATCAACTGGATTCTCTATGACATCCCTGTGCCTGACTTCCTGACAATGGAAACTGCTCTGTGCTGCTTCAGTCAAAAATAGACCAGCCTCGTAGTCTCTGTGAAGCAGAGCGGAGAGATGCTTCTAGGATGCATTGCAGCACTTCTGGTGGAATTAGAGGCATTGTCTAAAGCGCAGCCGGAACGTGTCATGCCCACACTCACCCATGATGCTGGCCTTGCCCAGGCTGGTGATGGACTCTCCGTAGTGCCGTCGGGCCTGGGGCGGGGAGGTGCAGGGGCTGGGGATGCTCTCTGAGTCTGAGACTGATGTGGTGTCCTTCAGCAGGTTGAGCAGTGTGGGCCGGATCTGATTGTACGGAGTTGGGCTGGTGGTGTTATACCTGCACATCACAACCATATCAACATCAGCTCACTGAAACATCATTCAGTGAATATGCCCAGTTTAGGATACTGTATCTTCAGTCAAAACTGGGTTTTATAATAACAGACATGATACATGGTACACTGATACATGGTACACTGATACATGGTACACTGATACATGGTACACTGATACATGATAATTATCTCCACCATGTAGGTTATGTTTACGGTGCTGTTTGTTTGTTTGTCAGCATGACCATGGAAAAACTATTGGCCCTTTTTCCATGAAACTTGGTGGAAGGAAGAACCCATTAAATTCACAGCAGGATGTTTTAATAGTTGTACATATGACTTGTCTTACCAGTGGATTTGAACAGGCGTAATGTTACTGTAGTGCTTCAAGATCAGGGGCTCCAATCTGTACGCCTGAAACACAAACAAATACAAATTCTTAGTCTCCCTTGCAAAATTACTTCTTACAACTGTTTTATCTGGATGTAACTGCCAGCTTGTCATTTCATTTTCATTATTTTGCCTGACAGCAGGCTGATCGAGGCTGCTCACCACGGGGTCTGTGGGGTGGAATAAGTTGAAGAGGCGTTTGCAGATAGACGTGGGGAGGATGTGGTCCTGCACACCGTTGTTTCCAGGTCGGATCCCTCGCAATGCCAAGAAAACAGCCAGAGGAGAGCCCATACAGAAGAAGTTTTCTACCTGAAATACAGACAACAGGCTGAATACAGCATGTAAATACAGCATGAGAGAATTAAAAAGAATGCTCCTACAAGGCTCTCATTGGCCAGTTCCAAAGTCACTACTGAATGCTTTGACAACAATATGCTCAATATAAAGGTCAACAATAAGGATGTTCCCACTTGCTAGTAAGTCTAGCAACTCACTTGCCCAAAGAATTAAAGATTTTTTCCGGAGTGGATGATGAAAGTAGCTAAGGAGTGAGCCATCTCTCTTCCTTCTCATCTCTGTTGAGAGCTGCACATGCTCAGTACAAATGGTTGAGCTGAAGCGAAAGTGAGCGTTTCAATTACCCTGGAAACGGCAGTTTAGTTGGCTGGTGTTAGAAGATGCACACGGCAAGTTTGAAAAAAGGGCTCCAGTAACAAGAACAGACAGCATCTTGCTTTCATGTCAGCCAAGAGATTCTTTGTTGTATTCTGATGACTGCTTATTAATAAATAAATTTTAGAGGGGCAAGTAAAAATTGACTTTGGGCAAGTAGATTGCTAATGCACTTGCCCAACCGGGCAGAAACATTAACATTGAACCATGCTTTGAAAGTGTTAAACAGTAATAACTAAGTTCAAACCTATACATCATACCCTGCTAGATACCCTGTACCAGTTTGTGTTCATCTTACTGTATGCTTGTGATGCTCCAAGAGATAGGTTTGTACAGTCTAACACTTCTGAACTTTACCTTGAACTTCAAGGCTGGCACTGCCACACAAGACAAGGTCTGCAGACCCTGGAACTGATCCTCCAAGTCCCTCAACCTGGGATGACATTATACAGGTAAAAATTATTCCAGTGCAAGGCAGCTGCATGCTAGTTTGGACGTTTCACCAAGGTTCAGAAAAAGTATGTTTACTAGTGAATATTACCTCTGCTTAAACATTAGAGAAGCCCTGAAATCTTCATTACCTTTAGGTACAACAGGTGGAATGAAAACTATTGACCTGTTCCTGAACAATAACCTGTGCGGTACCTGAGGCGTGTGAGTCTTAGCTGCTCCTGAAGGTGGCGTTCCTCATCACTTGGCCAGCGGACCTTTGTCTCCTCCGGGTCTGGCGCTTCTTGGTGATGAAAGCGAACGGGGTCCCAGCCCGTCATGATATCGAAGGTGATGACGCAGCCCAATGAATGCGACACGATGGACACTTTCCCGTTCTTCTCAAAGTCAGGATTCCGTGAGCAGAAGAGTGAGTAGAGACGATTCAGCTCCAGAGTCAAACCCCTGGTAATCTACATACAAGAACCACACATGTGCACATTTGTAAGGTATTGGCCGCGGCCACTGTTTTCAGTTGTGTCAATAAGATTCTAACAGGTTAGGTTATGTTTGATGCATTACAGTCTTGGTTAATCATGGCAGGCAGTAATGCATAATGCAGTGCTACATATACAGCCATGTTGGATTAAATCAGCTTAGCCAGGATTTAGTTGTGCCTGAGGGGAGATGATTCGGACTCATGGGACTAACGCTCCCAAACTGCCAGCAGGGTGTCAAAGTGCAGCAACACAGCTGTGAGGAGACAGAATGAGGCTGAACTTCAGGGTGGATGTGTATCGCAAAAGGAACTGGAAAGCTGTAGTGCAACATGGTCTCAGTCTCACCTCATCTCTGTACAGAGGGCTGGTGTAGTACATGATGTCCATGGCGCTGCTGTTCAGCATGTCTCTGAGACCTCGAACTTTGTCTGGAGTAATGGAGTCCACCGTGTCTGCAGGACCAACACACAAACACATCCAACACAGCTGCAACACACTCCCAGGGGAAAATAACTTATTTCTTTATACAGTTCCATGTTCTTTTTTTTGATAAGTGGACAGAAGTTCTGGGTCTGTGAAGTAAAGCCAAGTCAAGTGTCTTAAAGGTCAAGTGTGTAATGTTTGGGAGGATCTATTTTCAGAAATGCGATATAATATCTATAGGTATGTTTTCATTAGTGTATAATCACCTGAAAATTAATGAGAATAAGCCGATTTCATCTATAGAGGGAGCAGGTCCTCTTGTACAGAGTCCGCTAATTTGTACCGGCATGTTCTCTTACATACTTTTCAACACTAGATGCCACTAAGCTACCTACCAATGCTACGCACGAAATTCAGATCGAACTGTCAAACTAGGCAGTGCTAATCAAATATGAATCAAGATTCTGTTACCGCATTGACTGTATTTCTTTTTACAAATATATTTTAGTGTGCTGTATATTTGTCATTTAACTCCCACATCAAGTAGACCTCCAGGACTGCCTTCTTTCATTTACGTAATATTACAAAAATTAGACACATCCTATCACAGACAGATGCAGAAAAACTAATCCATGCATTTGTTACTTCAAGGCTGGATTACTGCAACTCTTTATTATCAGGTTGCCCCAATAAGTCCATTAAAACGCTCCAATTAATTCAGAACGCTGCAGCACGAGTACTGACAGGAACTAGAAAAAGAGATCACATCTCTCCTGTACTAGCTTCTCTGCACTGGCTCCCTGTAAAATGTAGAATAGAATTTAAAATCCTCCTCCTCACCTATAAAGCTCTTCATGGTCAGGCCCCTTCATATCTTAAAGAGCTCATAGTACCTTATTACCCCACTAGAACACTATGTTCTCTGAATGCTGGGCTACTTGTGGTTCCTATAGTCTCTAAAAGTAGAACAGGAGCCAGAGCCTTCAGTTACCAAGCTCCTCTCCTGTGGAACCAGCTTCCAGTTGTGGTTCGGGAGGCAGACACCCTCACCACATTCAAGAGTAGGCTTAAGACATTCCTCTTTGATAAAGCTTATAGTTAGGGCTGGATCAGGTGAGTCCTGAACCATCCCTTAGTTATGTTGCTATAGGCCTAGACTATCGGGGGATTTCCCATGGTGCACTGAGCTCCTCCCTTCCTCTCTTTCTGCACTCATTCTTCCCCAGAGTTCTTGTGCTTTCTCGTCTCGCAGGTTCTTATCTATCCTGGTGGAGCCTCCTGCCATGGTCCTGCTAGATTGCCATTGCCAATACTGTTGTTGCTGTGCACCTGTCTGTCTGTCTGATAACTTCTGTTATGAATTGGCGCTAAACAAATAAAATTTTATTGAATTGAATTATATCTGGAATACTAGACAGTGTCTGACCAGGCGTCGATGCTGGCTGCAAAAGCACAACATGGCGACAACCATAATGCAAAACTCGAGGCTTCAAAACTGTATTCCACAAACTAATGGTAAATGGTAAATGGACCTGGACTTGACCACTACATGCCACATTCACCCTTTCACACACATTCACTCAGTGATGGCAAAGTCTATCGAACAGACACATTCACACAGGATCAATTTGGGGTTCAGTATTTTGCTCAAGCATACTTCGACATGTGTGCAGGAGCTCGAACCAACAACCTTCGCATTAGGGGACAACCCGCTCTGCCTCTGCACCACAGCCGCCCGTAATAATTATTTATTAACAATAATAATGGGCGACTTCACGATTCTCACGCGATATATAAACATATAAACACATATATTTTCGTTTTTTTTTTTTTTAATGACCATGAACAGATGTTGATGATCAACACTGGTCTATGTCTTGATAACTACTGGCCATGAAATATTGAACTGACATTTAATAGTCACAGAGGTTGAGATATCCCCTCTGTTCAGTCACCTTGATCAACCTGTTGGTCAATGAAAAGGTAAAAGAAAATGAGCAAATTTCAGTGGAATCAGAGGTGAATATTCATGGATCAGTGTTTTTGGTGATCCTCTAACACTTCACAGATTTACCAGCATACTGGATTAATCCCATGTGGGTCAGTATAGAATAGTGTTACCAGGCTTTACCACATATTACAGCACCTGCATAATGCTACTGCAGCTTTCCTGTGTAATGGTTGTGTAATGTAATGTGTATTGATGAGCTAAATTGAAGCGCACCTCCATCCAGAGCCAGTTTCGATCTCCACTCCACAGGAAGAAACTCTACATGCTCCGTGGTGCGATCAGAGAAGTGCTTCTCCTCCATCTTCCTTGCAGCATCTCTCATCCTGCACACCAGCCGAGACAAAACAATTACTTTAAGAATGAGTCTGATTCCACTATCAATCTTTTGCACTCCTACTGGAAACCTCCCCATATCTCACATGCAGGTGTTCCTGATGATGCGACCCTGGTCCATCTTCTGCCCAATGCCATGCACCACGAAGACGATGTGTGTGGTTTCGGGTGGGGTGTCCTCGGGTGCTGCCTCCTCCACGTATCCCCGATGGAGACGTGTCCCGCTGCTAGAGGCTGAGGACATGAGAGGGGACATGAGGTGATGTGTTTTACAGTAGTGTGTGTAGTCACTTTTCTGACACTGCCTGCTACAACAAGGCACACTTAACCTTTTTTTGGAAACCCCTCTACATCACCTCTTGAGATGGGCCATTTATGCAGGTCACATTGACAGATTAGGCTCCTTGGGGCGCGGTGTCTTCGGTAACGGGACCACACAGGAGGTCTTCCATAGGGCTGGGACTTCCTCCAGAAAGTTTTTTGTGCCACATTAGCGAACATAAAATATGACTATATATAGGGTATGTCACTTTTATCTTTTAACCATCTTCAAAATGAGGTTGTCTTTTCAACATAGCCTAGCACATAGCATATCTAGGTACAGGAAAGGAAGAAAGTGATGGAGGAAGGGGCGGGGCTCAGGAAGGGTTAATTGTGGTGAGAGAGAGTGTGTGTGTGTGTGTGTGTGTGTGTGTGTGTGTGTGTGTGTGTGTGTGTGTGCATCACTGTAGTGTAGCAGTGGTGGGTAATCAATATACCCAGTGCAGCTTCTTATTATCAATTTTGTTAGTGACAGAGAGCAAGTGAATAGTGCCATTTTCTGTTGACCACTATTTTTTGTCCAGGTTTGCTGCAATATCGCATCATGCAGAGCATCCTCTAAGGAAAAGGTGATTTTTTTGTTTGTTTCTACAGTAAACAACCACATCACAGTTACAAAGTCTCTGAGAGGGAGAGCCCTCCTCACATTTATCCTCTCAGTGGCTAAAAACCAGCAGAATCATCAATCGGGAACACTGATGTTACAAAACTATTTACGGCAAATGTGCCCTTGCATTGATTTGATTGGCCAACACAGTGTTGCGACAAACATATTGGAAAAGGATGTGTTTTTTTTGCTGCATTATTGAAGTCTGTCTGCACACAGCCGTACTCGGAATAGTCGACAGTTTTAATAGAGACTATTTCATTCAAAAGTAGATTCAATAACGACTGTTTACAGTGACAAGGATGCTGTTTCTGGAAAGAGATGTTGCTGTTGAGTTTTACAAGTGTAGATTTTTTAATGTTGTGAGAACCACAGTTTGTTTAAGCCCGTTTTCAGCTCAGAAAGACACCTGTAGCCAAACTAGTTTCAACAGCCACTAGGCTCGCAATGGTAGAAAGGCTACAATGTAAAATAGAAATCACTGTCTAAGGTAATTAATATGTGAAAATACAATACATTCTGGTTTATTCCTGTACAGGGACACATTTTTAAAGTCCCCTCCAGTCAGAAACCGGTGTTTCTTGTTCCTACAGTGTGATTTTTGAATAATGTATATGCAGAGTTTGACACTAGATGAATGTTTTCACATTTATCTGCTGAAAGTGGAAAGTTCCAGTATGCAACCGCTACAGTGTGATGAAGAGACTTGAAGTCACCAGTGCACATACACTGAAAATGGACTTTACAGTGAAGTAGGAGACATCTTGTGTCCTGCAGGAAAACTTAATAATTTTAGTCCCTTGGTAACCTTGGACCTTGTGTTTGACTGCTGCTGTATGAGACATGTAACACTGTTCACTGTTATTGATAGTGTAGCTCATGGGATTGTTGGGCCAAACAAGACATCTCATCAGAGCTCCCCTCTTTTCCGTTACCTTTAGAGAATCCCAATTTCTGCGTGACTGTGCGTGCAATCTTGGAGGTGGTGGCATCGCTGTACAGGTACACCTCGTCCACACTGTGCCAGTCCACGTGACTCCTGCTCAGCTTCAGACTGTGGATAGCTGGGAGACAGTCACACAGTTATTAACATCACGTGACACACTTCATACAGCATAATTAATTTACCATTCCCCACCTGGGGGTGTAGAATGTGTGTGTGTGGATATGGGTGTGTGTGTGTGTGTGTGTGTGTGTGTGTGTGTGTGTGTGTGTGTGTGTGTGTGTGTGTGTGTCTGTCTGCGTGTGAAACTCCATTGCATTGAAGTCCATTTGCAAAAGTCATGATATAGTCTGTACACATACTCAGTGCCGCCTCCTCCTCTCTCAGGTGAGCTTCCTACTGGTTCAGCTGAAGTCAGCTAAAATAATCAAAAATCACCTGACTTGTTTTGTGGTCTGCTCTGAATGGCAGAGTTAACCCCCCACACACCACACACACAAGGTTGCCCTTTCACAGCACTTGCAGCCTCTATTCACACTCAACACACCACTCAGTTGGATTTCCATCACTTCAGAGAACATTACATTGACTAACATTAATTTCTTGGAGACTTACACCTAACCCACTACTTGGTAAATGGTAAATGGACCTGTACTTGTATAGCCTTCCAACCACTCAAAGCGCTTTTACACTACGTGCCACATTCACCCTTTCACACACATTCACTCAGTGATGGCAAAGTCCATCGAACAGAAACTAACATTCATACAGATTCACACACTGATGCACGGCATTGGGAGTAATTTGGGATTCAGTATCTTGCTCAAGGATACTTCGACATGTGGCATCAGGAGCCGGGGATCAAACCCACAACCTTCCGATTAAGGAACGACCTGCTCTGCCTCTGAGCCACACCCGTCCCCCTAACCCTAACCTTAAAGCTGCTGTAGGTAAGTTTTATGAAAGTAACTTTTTGTCATAATGGCTGAAACTTTCACTATATCCTGACAGTAGTACATGAGACAATCTCTGAAAAAATTCTTGGCTCCTCCTATGCTAATAATAATAAAATGTTAATTATAATTAACATTTGCAAGAATCCACCGTGGCTGAACGAAAACAACCAATCAGAGTGGAGGAAGATAGAAAGACGCTTTTGGTTGGTGGCTTGAAGGTAGTTGACAGTTGAGGCTCATTCCCAGAATCTGTATTTGACAACCTGGGAATGAGACTCAACTATCTTTCTCAGCTCTGATTGGTTGTTTACGTTAGAGCCTGGTAGATTCTTGCAAATGCCATCAGTAGCTCTAGGAGGAGCCAGATGAACCTGATTTTTCAGTACTACTGTCAGGAAATAGTGAAAGTTTAAGCAAATATGACAAAAAGATATTTTTGTAAAAGTTGCCTACTGCAGCTTTAAACCAAGTCATCACCCAAAATTGAATGATTTACCTTATCAGGATTTGCATTGTCCCCAAAAGCAAATTTACGTCCCCACTAGTGATGTGTCGGTCGCGAACTAGCTGGTTCAAAGAGCCGACTCCTTTAAGTGAACGATGGGAGCTGGCTCTCGACCATGCCATTCCTTTTTTTCTTATTTTTGTAAAGTAATACAAGGCAGAATGATAAGATGATCTCCGCACTACGGGTGCTCCATGCATGCAGTTGGTTTTATTTGTCCAGATGTCAGTGGTGGACATTAACAAAGCACATTTACTCGAGTCCTGTATTCAATTTACTTTTTACTTTTAGTACTTTACTTGTTTTGTTAGCAGTGTGTGATTAAATAAAACTTGAAAATGTCAATAGCTGTCCTAAATTTCTATGCTTCAGTTTTTATAGGTGTTTCCATCTGCTTCGTGTAGCAGAGTGGTTTACTTTTGAATACTTCAGTACAAAGCATATTTTGAATAATTTAAGTGATATATGTTACATTAATTCAAAACGCTGCAGCACGAGTACTGACAGGAACTAGAAAAAGAGATCACATCTCTCCTGTACTAGCTTCTCTGCACTGGCTCCCTGTAAAATGTAGAATAGAATTTAAAATCCTCCTCCTCAACTATAAAGCTCTTCATGGTCAGTCCCCTTCATATCTTAAAGAGCTCATAGTACCCTATTACCCCTCTAGAACACTACGTTCTCTGAATGCTGGGCTACTTGTGGTTCCTAAAGTCTCAAAAAGTAGAACAGGAGTCAGAGCCATGGTGGTACTGTTGGGTCTCTGTAAATAATGTTTTAAAGAGTTCAGTCTAGACCTGCTCTATTTGAAAAGTGTCCTGAGATAACTTCTGTTATGAATTGGTGCTATACAAATAAAATTGAATTGAATTGAATTGAATATGTGTACACATACAAATCATAAGTCAAAACAGCACTAAATTTGGCTGATTTATAAAAGGTATAGGTGGTAAAATGAAGAGTCGTTTGGAAGCTCTTCTTGGTGAGCTGAGCCAATTGATCTGGCTCACTAAAAAATAACCGTAATTCCCATCACTAGTCCCCACAATATGAGTACACACACACACACACCTTTATCTTCGATCTGTCACACACAAATACTGTTATCTTTCTTTAAGTATACCCTCATCCCAGAGCTTACATTGCTTACCATCCTTGCTGTCCACTGTGGTGGTCACCACCTCCATCTCGTAAGTGTCCTTCATCTGTTGCCCCCGGAAACGGGCGAGGTGCTCCATCTCGATGAGGTCACTCTCGTCCTCCTCTAGAGGAAGCCACGTTCCGTCGATGAACCACTGGCCCCTCATCACAGGAATACGGTCTTGCTCTGGAGGACACCACATAATGTTTACCACACTATGTGAGGGCCTGTGAAGACTATGCTGGATTAATTTACTGCCCTATCTTTAACAAAGTACACAAACACTCTTTCTCACTCTTTTTAAGAAATAATTTTCCAGGAAATTTTCCAGGAGTTTTTATTGACAATACAGGACAGAGCCTAGTACTGACTTCTAAGTCTTTTTTACTCTGTGTGAAATCTAGTGCAAATTGACTACAGTTTTCCTCTCAACATAACATTATGGCCACAGCCTGTAAGTCACCGGTCAAATCAAATTGGATAAATCTTGTTTTACAGAAACTTGGCGATGTGAGGGAGGAGTTAAAATACAATTAAAACTTTCCAGGACAATATAAATTATTATTATTATTTTTTTAAAATGTAATCAAAGTCATCCCCTCTCTCCCCTCCCCCCTTTCCTGTCACTCTTCAGCTGTCACTTTCAATTAAATGCAATGAAAGCCTTAAAATACATTAGAAAAATAAATAAAAAAGAAAGAAAGAACAAGATCATTGCATTTGCCATTTTACGTTGAAACAACTTCACAAATGAATTCATTACAATTAAGTAAATACAACCAAATTTTTTGTAAACTTAATGAGTACATATGACTTAAACACAATTATAGATAATAGATATAAGACTAATAGCTATTTCTATTTACTTTAATCGGTTTCCTACATTTGTTTAATCCACTTTTCTGATTTTAAAGTGAATGGAACATCGACTTTATTGGTCAGCTATCTTTTCAGTGGAATACGGAATCTATATTCCATATTACCAATAAAATATTAATAAATTGTGTACATGATTCATCGATTAGTCAGTCGACAAATAAATAATTGGCAACCATAATAACTAATTGTTTAAGTCATTTTTAAACTCAAAAATCTTCTGGCTGCAGCTTCTCCAGTCTGAGGATTCTGAACTGAAATCTTTGGACAAAACAAGACATTTGAACATGTGCACCTTGAGCTCTGAGAAATGTAGATTTTTGTCAATTTGATGACAATTATTAGACTATTAATTGAACAAGCAGATTACTTTCATTAATTTAATTCATTCTGGTCAGTGTTTACATTCTACCGAAGGCCAACATGCAGGGGACACGCTTGCCGACCAGATACTGTATGTGGAGTGGACTATCCCGGACTCTTTAGTTATTGTCCTTGGTGACTACAGCCACAAACTCCCCAAATACAAACAGTTTACTAAATGCCCGACCAGAGAGGAGAACACACTGGATCAATGTTACACTACTGTCAGCAGAGCTTATCACGCTGTCCCCTGTACCGCACTAGGTCTCTCTGATCACATCATGGTCCACCTGATTCCTACATACAGGCATAAATTAAAGCTCTGTAAACCTGTTGTGAGAACATCAAAGCAGTGGACCAGTGAAGCTACAGAGGATCTTCAGGCGTGTTTGGACTCTACTGACTGGGATGTTTTCAGGACTGCTACCAACAGTCTGGACGAGTTCACAGAGGTTGTGACATCGTATCACTTATCAGCTTCTATGAGGACTGCTGTATACCATCACGCACCAGGGTGAGTTATAACAATGACAAACCCTGGTTCACAGCCAAACTCAGACAGTTACGGTTGCAGAAGGAAGAAGCGTTCAGGAGTGGGAACAGGGACAGATTTAAGGAGTCGAAATACAAGTTTAGCAAGGCGGTGAGAGAAGCTAAACGTCGGTACTCTGCAAAACTTCAACACCAGTTCTAAGCCAACAACTCTGGTTCTGTCAAGAAAGGGCTCAGACAGATAACCAACTATAAACCTAAAACCCCCCACTCCATCAACGACTTGTGCCTAGCAAATGACCTGAATGAGTTCTACTGTTGCTTTGACAGACACAACTCTCTGCCTCCAAGAGAGAGACGTCAACAGAGTCTTTAAGAGGCAGAACCCCTCTAGGACTGCCTTTTTTCATTAACGTAATATTAGAAAAATTAGATACATCCTATCACAGACAGATGCAGAAAAACTAATCCATGCATTTGTTACTTCAAGGCTGGATTACTGCAACTCTTTATTATCAGGTTGCCCCAATAAGTCCATTAAAACGCTCCAATTAATTCAGAACGCTGCAGCACGAGTACTGACAGGAACTAGAAAAAGAGATCACATCTCTCCTGTACTAGCTTCTCTGCACTGGCTCCCTGTAAAATGTAGAATAGAATTTAAAATCCTCCTCCTCACCTATAAAGCTCTTCATGGTCAGGCCCCTTCATATCTTAAAGAACTCATAGTACCCTATTACCCCACTAGAACACTACGTTCTCTGAATGCTGGGCTACTTGTGGTTCCTATAGTCTCTAAAAGTAGAACAGGAGCCAGAGCCTTCAGTTACCAAGCTCCTCTCCTGTGGAACCAGCTTCCAGTTGTGGTTCGGGAGGCAGACACCCTCACCACATTCAAGAGTAGGCTTAAGACATTCCTCTTTGATAAAGCTTATAGTTAGGGCTGGATCAGGTGAGTCCTGAACCATCCCTTAGTTATGCTGCTATAGGCCTAGACTATCGGGGGATTTCCCATGGTGCACTGAGCTCCTCTCTTCCTCTCTCTTTCTGCACTCATTCATGTCCCTTTAATGCATGTTACTAACTTCACTTCTTCCCCGGAGTTTTTGTGCTTTCTCGTCTCGCAGGTTCTCATGGATCCTGGTGGAGCCTCCTGCCATGGTCCTGCTTGACTCCCACTGCTAATATCACTGATATTATCAATATTATTATTATTATTATTATTAATATTAATATTTATATTATTATTGGCCATTGTCCCCCATCGTTGTGGCTGTTGTCATCATCATCAGTCATTTCTATTAGTATTATTGTTGTTGTGCACCTTTGTCTCTGTCTCTGTCCTTCTCTCTTTAGCCCCCCCCCCCCATTCCCCTCTCTCTCCCACTCTCTCTTTCTCTCTCCCTCCTTTCCCAACTTGTCGAGGCAGACGACCACCGGGGTCTGTCCTAGGTTTCTGCCTCTTAAAAGGAAGTTTTTCCTTGCCGCCGTCTCCAAGGTCTTGCTCATGGTGGTACTGTTGGGTCTCTGTAAATAATGTTATAAGGAGTTCGGTCTAGACCTGCTCTATTTGAAAAGTGTCCTGAGATATTTTGTGTTGTTAATTGGCGCTATACAAAAGAAATGGAATTGAATTGAATAAAAAATGCCTCATAGAAATGTTTGGTCATACCGCCCAGCATTAGGGTTGTTTCTAATAGTGGTAATAGTAATTCTGGCAGTACAAGGTGGTGTTGCTAATAGCAGCCTAATACAGACCTAATTAAATGGTAGCACTATATTGTGACAGCTTTATTATTAAACATAAACCACTGACTCACGGTTCCAGTAAACAGGGTAGCATTCCTTCTCCCGGATATCCACTTCATACAGCCCCCCTCTGACACACACTGCCTCCACGGTGATGCTGATGTCGTCCGGGTCCTTCGTCTCCTCCGACACCGAGCGCCGCTGCCCTTCTCCCCGCTGCACCTCCGACTCTGCCAGGACACCTCCACCGTCCGCCGCCCCGCTCTCCGGCTGCACCTCGCCGGTCCTGACCGCATCCTTCCCCTCGGCCTCGGCAGGATCGGTGGGGCGTTTGACCTTGTCGGGGTTCTGCTCACAGAACCTTCGATAGACGATCTCGATTTTTAAAGAGTCGTGTCCCACGAAAGGCTTCCACGTCCGCTTGTCCTCTTTGTAGAACCACCTGACCTCCTCCGGTCCCAGCTCCGTGACGATCTCGCCGCGGTGCCTGGAGCTGTTGGACCGTATGCGCTTCTTGGTTGTGACATTCCCGTCACTTTCGGTATAGTTTGGGTCGATGGAAAGATACGACGAGTCCGAATATTCTTCCCCAGCCAGGCCCAGCATCATGCCATCCTGTGATAACGAGTCCGCCCGTAACAGCGGCAGGTGTCTGTCCAAGCCGGGCTGCGCTGGGTCTGGGTCCCCAGCGGCGACACTGTCTCCCATCGGATTGTCGTCGTAGCCGGACACAAACACATCATTTGCCATATCCCACTCACTACTGCTGACAGAGTTATTCTCCGAGCTCTGCTGGCGGATAGTGGCTTTATCCTGCATATTGCTCATGGTTCAGTCGGGATTTATTGGACTCAATACATAAAATAGTCTAATACAAAACACAGACAATGATACCAGACTGAGATACCAGATCAACGGGTTCTTTCTCCTCAACTACGTTAGGAACATCTGTATGCCGAGCTGTTCTGACCCCGACAATATTTCTGAACATTATACAAATTTAAAAACATTTGCCCGGACTGTTTAAACGACACACAAACCTCCTGCTTTCCTGTCTGTATGCGCTCCCGTTCATGTCCCCGTTTTTTCGTGATAAATGCTGGAATAAATCCATGAACGGTACCAACTAGGATGACTGTAATCTCAGTCGCCCACAATGTCAAGCACACGACGACAAGTTTAACTTCCTGTTCCTAAAATTCATAATAAACTTCACGAAAATGAATAAGCGGATTTTCAAAAATGTAATAATACAACGCAAAGTAAAAATATAAATGTAATACATATTAAACGAAAATGAAACTGTGCAAGTAGTCTTTAGTGTTGTTCAATGCGTAATTTTCAAAACATTGTTTGCAGTCTGCTCTTTCAATTGTATTTTTATATATGCGCTTTTAATTTGAAGGGAAATTTGCCATATAACTAGCTTTGTTCTACGTTAGCTTTCTTGGCTTGCTACCTTAAAACACCAAACATAAAGAGCAAATTTCTATAAAGTTAACGTTAGTGAGTACAATATTTAAAATAAAGAAATTGTTATGAAGTTACTATCAAGTTGATGTGCGGTTTAAATAAAAACGTTAAACATTGTGAAATATTTGGTGTATGCTTTGTATACCTTTTAGGCCACCGTAGGTCTAGCCTAGGAGTTCCTGTCATGGCCGTCATGGGAAGTGTTTATCCAAGGATCTTCTCATAACCTGGCATATTCTCTGCCATTTCACACATGATATGAAATGGCAGCGGTTTTCCTTGTGACGTTGTACGAGTACTCCCCGCTGTTTTACATCAGTGTGGTGTCTCTGTGCTTCCTGGTCACCGCCGCCATGGTGCTCGGCTGGTGAGTAAAGTGTAGTTAACGGTAGCTTAGCCACTGTCATGGCAGCCAGCCTGATACTTTATTTTCACATATGAACTTAACGTTACCGCCACACGAGAAGAAATGAGCATACTTTACTTTATAGGTTTATCTTAATGAGTTGACACGCAGACTTTATCAGCTCGAATGGAACCATACCATAATAATAATCAATGTAATACCACAGCAAGTCTTTGCCATTGGTTCTGTTTACAAGCTTTCCCCACCAATATGATGGTATGATATGATATATATAATATGATAATTAACAAGTATCAAATCATTGAAAAGTACTCATACGCCTAAAAGTATAGGTAAAAACTAGGGATGCTCGATATTGGCTTTTCTGCCGATATCCGATATTCCGATATTGTCCAACTCTCAATATCCGATACCGATATCACCCGATACCGATATATGCAGGCTTTTTCCACCAAAACTGTTAGGTAACAACATAACATATCTCCTATTGTGGAATTAACACATTATGCCTCATTTTATTGTGATGCCCCACTGGATGCATACATAAATGCAACATGGCTTTCCGAGTGTAAACACTGTCTGTGCAAAATAAGAGAACAACTTCAACTTTCATTGTATTAATACTGAAAAGCACTAGCTTTTGTTAATGTGTTTAATTGTATTATGCACCTGAAGGAGTGCTAATGTAAATTCTAACCAATTGTTAGTTTGGTTAAGGAACAGCTCATAGCAGGGTCAAATATTTAAGGTGCATTGCACTTATTTTGTGTTAATATTAAAATCATTCAGCTTTAAATTGTTTGCTTGTTATCCACGGTTAGCAACCAACCAGTCTAGCGTAGTTGTTGTTGTTATACGTCATCTAGCGCGCGCCGGTAAACGTTCCATGCTGCGTTCATGCAGGCTCGGGAATGCTGAAGCCTACAGAACAAACATCGGTTATAAAAACCCGATACCGATAATTCCCAATATTACATTTTTTAGTGAATATTGGCCGATAATATCGGAGGGCCCATATTATTAAACATCCCTAGTAAAAATGTAAATGTATATGAAACAGCAACATACAAAGTCTGCATACAAGTCCAGTGTTTCTGTAAACTGTAAACAATACAAATGGTGCAAAGGAAAGGAATGGGAATATGTAATGTAACAGATTACTTTATTCCGTAAGGGTTGCAGACATACTGATTCCATGGAATATTGTGATATGAAAATTGACAGTTATCGTACCATGTACATTTATTTATCTACTTTATTTAATTCTACTTTATTAGTGTTATTAAAAAATATAGGACATCATATTTTGTGAAATTAAAATAGTTTGTTCAACCAAAAAAGCCCTTCTGTTTTCATTCCTTTAACAGTGGTTTTCAACCATCTTTGTGGGGGGGGAGGGGTCATGAGGCCTTCTTGATTTTAAGGGGTGTAAGAAAACTTTAAAAATATGCAATAGGCCTTTATCTCAGCATCTGGTAAATGTAAAGTAAGTAAATTCTAAAAGAACAATGGCCAAGCTTTAGGGACAAAGAAGCTTATTAAGTATCTATAGTTGTTAAAAATTAAAAAAAATACATCATACCAACAGGATTTTATAAAAAGTTCCCTAAACAGGAAATAATCTGCTCAAAATTCATCCAAATCACTCCTTTTACGCAAACTGTCTGCAGTTACTGATTTCTCTGGATTCATTGTACAGTTTTGAATATAATATGAAATATCCATGAAATATGTAACTTAGTTAGGGGTCATCAGTTTACTAAATGATAGAAAGGGGGTCCCTTAAGAAAAATGGTTGTGAACCACTGCTTTAGGAGTCATTGTAACTGGTCATGATAATAATAATTGTGTGATATTTTTTGAGACCGTTGCAACCCTACAGCATAAAACAGGATATGTTTAAAACGTTGTTAAAAGTGTGTATTTTAAACTGCAAATATATTATTTATAATTTGGAGTTAAGCAGATGTTTTTGTGTAAGAGGGTTATTGACAATGTATATATATTCAGCTTTTGTCTTTAAGCCTCTCACTGTCATATAGACTGATAATTGAGAGTTGATTATGGGCGATGGAGAAAATATTCACTTTTCGCTCTTTCACTTTGCCCACTCCTCCTCCTGTCCTTCAGGTTTGGCTTTGATGTCCCAGTGATCCTTCGCAGCTCTGATGAGACTGAGTCCATCCTGCCCACCCCTGAAAAGCTCATGGTTCAGGTGACCAATCCCTTTGCCCTGGAGATGGGCTCTGGGCCAGCATCTGTCACTGGTGAGGACACCCACTGTCAGTAATATAACACAGTGACCCCTCCTGTCCCAGCCTGTATGTACCAACCTCACCAAGATGGAGCACCCTTATCTTTTGTGTCCCTGCCATGATAACATTAGCGAACCCTCCCTTGCAGATGGTGTGTCAGTAAGGCCCTGCTGTCTGGAGCCCTGCGTCTTGAGCTTTTTCTGGGGCTGCAAGGTTCGTGACCTGAAGGGAGCGCTGCAGGCCCACCACCATGGCCCAAGGCTCAGCACCCCCCAACATTTCCAGCAGGCCCTGCAATTCTGCTACCGCCACTACCAGAGCTTCCAGTATCCTTTCCAGTATTTAATTGTATTGTGCAGGTTAATATCACATGGTCTGACTCGCATTCTCAACCTAACCTTCCAAGCCCCTTTCTTTTTAATGGATGGAATCTTGGATTTTTGGCCCTAAAATATAATAGTCGTGACTTATTGAGTTACTGAGTTGAGTGATGAAGTTTCACTTTTGCTCCGGTCAGATGTTGGAGTTCCCTGATTGGCTGTTGCTCTTTCAAAATGAATAGGCGCAAATGAGCTTTGCTGCTTTTCTAATCACACATACAGCTGAACTTTACCTCAGAAGTTCTAGGTGGTAATGGATAAGTGTGCTGTTACAAGGACAGGCTTGTGATGATTAATATGTGGAATAAGTATGGACTTTAAACTTTTTTTTTTCGGGGGGTGGGGGGCTACAGTAGCACCTGATGTTATATTCTTTGACCCCACCCTCCCAGTATTGGCAATGAAGACAGAGAGGAACGACACACACAGATCCCTGCTGAACAGGGGATCACAGATTTTGGGCCGTTGCCGAGGGAACGCTACCCTCTTGTGGCGGTGTTGACGCTGGCAGAGCCAGAAGCCAGAGACACGTACAACATCGTGAGTCCATCTCACATTCACAGTTTGCAGTTGTGCTTGTTTTTGACTCACATCCTCTGTATTTTCGGCGTAAAAAAGGAGAAACTTTAAGAGAAGAAATTCAAAAAAAGTTGCTGTCTTTCCTCTTTCAGGTGGCCAGTGTGACTGTTATTCATGTTCCTGATGACAAATACAGCCTTTCTGAGAGGGTTCTCTTTCAGTACCTTCTCACCTCACAGGGGAACATGTACGAGTTAAAGGTAAGTCACCTGTTCCAGCCGGTCTTTTTCTCTCTTTAGGGTGCTTTCACCTTTGACCAGTTTGGTTCAGTTTACCTGATTAGTGCGGTTCTGAACTGAATGCTGTCAGATTAATGTAGACCACAACACTAAGATCACTGTCATAAATGTATTATTTCTATCGAATTGCTGATCATTATAGGCCAAGTCAATAAAAACAAGAAAGCCAAAACTGTTGCATTTCAATATGGACATCACTATGACCATACCATGATTATGTTTGAGTAGTAGTCCATGTGAACAGTGAACATATCTTGATGTGTACAGTTGTGATGTCTGCATTCCATTTAGGGTCCTGGTATTGCCAATTGGGCTCCCTGTTATGGCAGGGGGTCATCAAAACTTCACGGTGGGTTGTGAGGCCTTCTTGATTTGAAGGGGTTTAAGAAAACGTTAAAAGACATACAGTTGGCCTCTGCAGGGTACCTTTCTAGGAGTTTTTATTGACAATACAGGACAGCGATTGCTCCCGAACAGTCATATCATTTAGCAGTAGGCCTAGTATTGACTTATGTCTGGGGGCTCAGGGTTTTATGTGGGACACACGTTAGCGCGCACCTGGCTTTTCTTACCAAAGCCAATTTTTTCCATGTGAGCTCTGCTGAATTGACTACAGTTAACTACAGTTTTCCTTTCAACATAACATCATGGCCACAGCCCAGAAGTAACAGGTCAAATCCAGTAGAATGTATCTGGTATTACAGAAAATTTGGAAATGTGTGTAAGGAGCTGAAGTACAAATTACGAAGTAAAATTTCTAGGACAACATATATTATTTCCAGGATTTTTGGTAGTTTTAATCAAATTACAGGCATTTCCATGACTGGAAAGCTAGTCCCTAAATTTTGTCTCCAGAGGTTATCCAGGATGTGTGGCAACCCTGCTGTATCTCAGGAATGTATGAGTGACATTGTTATTTTTAAAGTTAAGATAATTTTTTTTACACTCACAGGATAAGGGCAGACCTGAAAACAAGTTATATTCACAGAGCCTTCAGTCTGATAAACAGCCTCATACTGCATTAGAAAAGATCAAACAACCAAATAGCTAATGGAATAATGAGCGGAAACACTGAATCTGTCAGAAACAAGCCTATTAAGTATGTATGATTGTTTGAAAGTATGAAGGTGGATTTACACAGACCTCCCACAGGTAGTGTTCACTGTACAGTTTATCAGTTGTTATACATTGACTATAATATGAAAAATCCATAAAATATCTAAGTTCAGTCAGTTTAGTGATAGAAATGGAATGGAGCCATCGTAAGTCTAAAAAAACGTACCTCCTGTCTCCTGCAGCCTCTCTTCATGTCAGCCGACAGCGGGGTGGCGTCTGTTTGCCCCGACTCAGAGCAGTGTACCCAACCCAGCGAACCCAACGTTGAGGCCAGCAGAGTGGAGCAGGGTCCAGTGCAGGAGGAGGACTGGTCCGAGGGGAGGGGCAGAGACTGCGTGGTGTGTCAGAACGCAGCGGTGAACAAGGTGCTGCTGCCCTGCAGACATGCCTGTGTGTGCGACAGCTGCGTGTTGCACTTCCAGCACTGCCCCATCTGCAGGGCCTTCGTCCTGGAGTCCTTCACCCTGACACAGGAACCGGCTGCAGAGCAGTGACTGTGCACTGAACCACAGGGTGTTATCGAAGAACTAATATGCAGCAAGATAAAATAATGCAAATAATGATACATAATATCATTAATTGCACTGTAGGGGGCGCTAACAGCAGAGATATCATTGAATGTGATACACTGACATGAGCCATATGCTGTTACCCAGTTCATTCTACAGACTAACTGCTGCATGATTTCCAGTCATTTAAACCTCTGTGAAATTAGTCACAACACCGCTCATCAGTTTGAGATCATGGAGGAAGAAAAGAAGTTTCCATGTTTGGAAGGATGTAAAGATTTTGGGATATTTTCATGTACAGATTATTTATGTTTACACCATTTTTGTGTGTATTTGTTTTACAATGTGACCTCTTTTACAGCGCAGTATTTATTGACCACAGCCAATCAATTCCTCAGCTTTAACAGACAACCATTAACTATGAACTAAAATGAAGAATTAAAAAGATTGATTGTGTGTGCACGTGTTCCTGTTTTTATGGGCAGCGGACAGCAGCAGCAGAGGATGCCGAGCCGTCACACAGGAGATCAGGGTTTGATGATCCATGTGGGTTTTTAAAGGCTCACAAATATTTAAGTTTTATATTTCAAAAGATTTGTTATTGAATTGTGATCCTGATCTGCCTTAGGGTAACAATATCAGGGTAACCCAGTCAGAGTAGGGTGGGTCATGCCCTCACCATTCAAAGGGCAAAAATTGTGTTCTCTTGGCTCAATAAAAGTTTGGTTAATTAGCTGTTAGCAGCTCCTGTTTGCAGTGTACCAAATAAATAACCACCACTGGATCTTTGATACTGAAGAAAGCTTAAAGCTGATGATTCTAAGGCAAACTTGTAAACATGTTTTGTCCACAACCATAATCACAAATAATGCAATGAGTATTATTTCTGTTGATGTTACATTAACTACTATTATTGTTTTCTTTCTTTCTCTCATGAGAACTTCCAAGTTCAGTACAAGATTTATTTAGTTTTTCCAAAATGATTTTCAAGGTCATGAACAAACAAACTCAGAATGTGTTAAATCAGTTTTTTGACAATGCAGTAACTGAGAGTCCATCACACTCACTTTCAGGTAATGAGAGAAAATGAATGGTCATAAATTGACATATAGTATATTTCAGTACATGAAGATAGAAGTGTATTTTACATGTGGGATGCCAGGCTGATCAACCTTCGATCAGGAGTTACTAAGTGAAAGTCACTTTGTTGGCAACTGTGAGGAAAGTTGACTTTTTCTGTTGCTTCCCACAAACATAAACAAACTTTTTTTTCTGGCCTTGAAGCATAGAACACAGCAAATCCATGAGAATGCAATGAAAAAGATCAGAAAAGGACTATGACACAGAGGATTTATACAGGCTTGTAGTCCAGCTTGGACTCCAGCTTCTTTGAATCTGCCACCTTCCTCACAGCTTTCATGAAGTCTTCCTGAGTGACGTACTCACGGTCGGAGCGGATGGCAAACAAACCTGCAAACACACATGAGTGAAGAGAGCTGTCCATGGACAATATGGAGTGAGGACATGTAAGTAATGAGGATAGTGAATGAGTTTGTCCAACCTGCTTCCGTGCACACATTTCTCAGATCAGCTCCGTTGAAACCATCAGACAGCTTCACAATGGCTTCATAATCTGAAAGAAAGCAAAGGCAACACAGCTTGAGCCCAAACCTTTGATGAATAACAACAATGTAATGATTCTTTTTCCAATTTATCATTGACTATGAAATATCCCCCCCAAAAAAAGTTGTGAGAGTTTTAAGTGTCTATTACAAATCTTTTTCTGTCAACCGACTAATCTAATTATCTAATTATTAATCTAATTATTTTCCAAACATTCAATGTCTTGCTCAAGGACACTTTGACATGTAGACAGGAGGACTTAAGGATAGGACCGCCAAACTGGCAACAAGTGAACGAGCCACTCTAGCAGGGTTTCTACAGCTTGGAGAAAAAGGTACACTGTGTAGGGTTTAGGGGCATCTAGGTGGACTTGCAGATTGCAACTTGCTTGCTTCACCTTCCCACTCTTAGTGTGTAGGAGAAACTATGGGGGCAACGAAACAGGCGAAAAATGCCAATGGCCCTATCTAGAGCCAGTGTTTGGTTTGTCCCTTCTGGGCTACTGTAGAAACATAGTAGACTCTGCAACATCTTTATGTAAAAAGGGCTCATTATAACACTGGACCTTTTTAAGACAATTATGAATGCAATTTAAGACCTATTTTCATGTCCATCACATTTTAAGAACTGATCTGATCAAAATCCTATTTAAGACCTGAAGTTGAGATTATGGCATTTTAGACTTTAAGACCCTGAACCCTGTCTACCTCCTAATACATACACAGCAGTATGTGTGCAACTAGGAGCCAAGACTGGCCAGCACGGACAGGTTGGAGTGTCGAGGGGATGAAGACAATATCTGGATTGTATTCATTTGAGGAGAATTGATTCAGTAATTGGAAGGCACTTTTTACACTGCTCTCAGGTAGTGAGTTCACACATGATGGACTTCAGAGAGTGCAATGCTAGGATAAAGCTGTAGAGTCCCTACATGACAAAGTTCCAACCAACCAACCAGTATCACAACTACTACACTCTGATCTTCTGAACCACCTCTGTGACCTCGTGCTGGTGAGCTGGTTGCACATTGTGCAAACAGGAGCACAGCAGAGCTTCCCTGAGGATCAGTTGTGCTCACTGACCTATCTCTCCGTGCTTGGTGATGGGACTGGAGTGGATCTTAAGGATGTCCAGACGAGCCTGTTCATTGGGCAGTTCGATGTCTGAGGAATAGAAGAGGACATTAGATTTGCTGTGTGCCGTCTCACAGAGCTGACACGCAGGAGACGTACAGGAAGAGAGGATATCTTACGGATTTTACGGTCCAGTCTGCCAGGCCGCAGCAGGGCCGGGTCCAGAGTGTCAGGTCTGTTGGTGGCCATGATCATCTTGACTCTGTGCAGTGTGTCGAAGCCGTCCATTTGGTTCAGCAGCTGACAGGACACACATTAAACAACTCAGTGGCTGCTTTTAATCCTCTATCCACTGTGCTGACTTACAGTCACACTGCAGGCACACAGGACCACAATGGGATTTTTTTTTTACTTTTTTGGCCACTTTCATATCCAAATCAGATACAGTTCGGATTTTTTTTCAGTGCGGCCAGTCGCCAGAATTCATGTGATTTTACATCATTTGTCACAATTGTGTGCTGGCGGGAGTCGCTCAGCTGTGATGGAGGTAGTCAGTGGAGGGACAGTGACAGTGGGGTGACACTTCAAGTAAAACTTGAGGTTAGTGTGTGCTCAGACTCCACATCCACACACACCTGCACATAGAAGCAGCAGCTGTTGCTACACAAAAAGACTAAATAAAAAATGTGTCTCTTTCTCCATCCTCATTATTGCTGCTTCCACTGCACATCTACTTATAATGAGCCACAAAAAATGATGTATATGTAATATAAAATTAATATACTGGTCATGCTTTGCAGTTATAAAGTGTGTACATTCAACCTTTCTTCAGTGAGTAACAATAAATCAAGTGATGATAGGATCATAGGACATTCAGCCCTGACCACTTCTACAAGTGAAAAAAACCCTAAACTATCATTTTAGCATTTCAATTTGTTTGAAATGAAAAATTGTGACCAGGAGATGTAGTGTATGGGAGATTTGTTTGAAAATCAAACATCAAAACTAAGAGAATTTAGCACAGAATATAGTAAATATTATGCAGTTAACTAGGGTGCAGTATTAGAGCAACCAAATCTGACATTTTGGAAATAAAATCCAAATACTCGGGGTCAGGGCACAGAATTAGCACCAGCCAAATGCTGGCAAATATGTAGGTGCCTGTAGATTTGCTTCACTCACCAGGTGAAACACAATGGTAATGTATTGAGTGGCTGGTAAAATGTGAACATTCATTAGCCATTTGGCTGGTGGACAAATATATCATTTTGCAACATGTTCAGGATTCAATGTAGACGCTTTTTATTCCCCGATCAGGCAAGTGGGCCAGAAATCTAAATAACGTCTTCTTTGTTCAAAATATTTCCACTTCATTCTCAGAATTGTATTTTGGCCTGTGTATTTTGCCAGTGACCCTAATAAGGTGTTGTACAATACAAGAAAACAATTAAATACGTGACAAATGCAGCATATGAAAGTTGAAGAACTCTAACTGCATTATAACAAACATATGATAAAGAAGTGTGTGGTGTTATGAACATTAAATACCTTTTTGATTATAATGAAATATACATTTACATCATAGAAAAGTAGAAGGGCACTCAGACTTCTGCCAGGCTGTTCTGTCTGTACTGTGATGTTTGAGGTGGCTGTTATGTTTTAATTAGAGTGAATGGTGTGCTGCGAACATACAACGGGTTCAAGCGTCTTCCTTGCCGCATCTTTCCGAGTTTCATTAAAGTAAAGTAGTCTCTGTCTCTCTCTCTGTATCTGTCTCTCTCTCACACTCTGTGGCTGTTGTGTGTTTGTGTATTGGTCCTAGGAGCCTAGGATACAGTGACTCAGTTACCTCCATCAGAGTCCTCTGGATCTCTCGGTCAGCAGAGGTTCCCTCCGAGAATCGACGGCCACCTACAGGGAACAACACACAAACATGGCAGAGGAAATACAGTGAGGACTCGCACTGGGTGGCAGGACCCAACGCAAGACTTGAGTGGGGAATCTGAAATAGAGGACTGCATTGAGATTGGGATCCTGCAACGGGTGGTTTTGACATTGCTGCAGGTGGTCAAAATTTAAAGACCGTTTGTAATCATAAAAAAACATGTTTATTGGTGCATATTGGGGTAATATAACTAACTCCAATATGCATTTTTGATATTGATACTTTTGATAATTTATATTTTTTTCAAGCACAGTACTGGAGGGGGCAACAAAGCATTTCCCTGTACAATGCAGATATGTTGAGTATGACAAATAAAAACTAGGGCTGGGACTTTATCGCATTAATTACTTTTTAATCGCAATTAATTTTTGCACTCCAAACAGCGCAGAACGTTGCTCGTTGCACAAGTTCCCGGCAAACCCGTAATACTGATGCACAGTACACAACACAAGAAATGGAAACCGATGAGAAGTTGTTGTTGGGTTCGGTGGGCGGACAATTAAGTTTTAAAAAACTACCGGGTGGAAACCTGGATAAAAGCACAGTTGTGTGCAAATTGTGCAAGAAAGAATTTGCCTATCACCGGAGCACTTCCAGCCTCCGCTACCACCTCAATGCCAAACATGTTCTGGAATGTACTGTACTAAGTGCTGTTTTTTATTTTATTAAACAAAAACAAATGTGTTTAAGACAGAAAGTTTACAAAAAGTCCTGAAAAAGCTTGAATATAGCTAACTTGAATTTAAGTTTGTGCCTTGTGAACAATGCAATCATAATATTCTTTATTCATATTGCACTTTAAGTTAACACTCAGT